ACTTATCTCCATTTGCTAGTAAGATTCAAAATGCTCTGTTCTTGTGTCACCTCATTATGACTTCTTTCCTTTATCTGCGAGTCTCAAATTAACTTGACATAGATGTTTTACATATATTTTAGGCTAAATGTGAAGTATTCCCTCATGCCCATGAGGCATTTGGAAAGTTGATAAGTTCTGCTTTCAAGGACACTATAAATGAGGTTATTAAAATTCAACACTTTGCATATTCTGATGGAGAAAAACGCTTGCCCTGACAACAAAGGATATAGGTCAATTTAAGAAAGCTTCTCAATCTTCTTATCCACGGCCACTGAATTCCTTGTGCCAGTATTTGTAAAACCAAAATAAGAAAATGTTACAAGGGCGGAAGAAAAGTGTAGGAGCCCAGGTCCCGTCCAAAAGTAAAAAACCATAACCATCTGTTGTTTGTGTTACATGGATTTCGCAACTGTCACTGTGCATGCCATTTCATCTTCACAGCAATATCACCAAAACACCCACTGAGATAAAATCACAAATATTTTGAACATACCATATGATATGTTATTTTCCAAATTAATATTTGACAAGTCAAAATGAGAACTTGTCTATAGGTTACTTTTGTGTTGTCACCTAAAAAATCCTTTAAGGGTTTGCTACTCTCTGAAAATACTTAATCTCAAACTTGAATAACTTAAGAAATACAGAAGAAGGGAGAGGAAGCTATTAAATGCTGCATTTTTAATTATAAGCATGTTTTGAAAAATGGTAATGGCTGCTACTTACACCTATACAGCATCTTTCTTCAAAAGGGGTCCAAAGGTGCTTTTAAAATTATTTACTTAGAAGTATCATCTAGAATTTAAATGAACCTTTCTTTTTTGAACTTCAGACCAGCAAGACTATCCCACATTTCACAGCTGCGTATGGCTTGAAGGATTTATCAGCTCTCAAGCTAATCTCTATAACCCAATGTCACACCCAAAAAGTTATTTTGGAAAAAAACCCCAAACAAAACAAAGAAACAAAAAACCCAAACTGAAATTGTCCTTGGAAAAATGACAGAAAAAGAGTTAAAGACAAGTGAGTAAACCAACTGCTTTTTCCCTAAGGAAATCTAAAACTCAAGGTCAGCTGGGTCTGAAATCGCCAGACCTGTCACGTGGCTTTCATAGCTGCCACTAAGGCTCCTATCAAACCTACACTGAAAGCAATGAAAACGTTTTTACTGGAAACAGATCGAGCTCTGATAAGAAGCTCTCTAATCACCTTTGGCTGTTAACGCTGCACAAAGTCAGAGGTGAAGTTTTGAAAAAGAGAAGAATGAACTGAGAGAACTTGAGGTCAAATGTATTTGACCTTTTTCTTGAATTCCTTAATGCTTGTGTGTGTTAGAGCATAAATATGGCTCTATGAGTATATGAATGCATATATGGTTTATGTATATAACATGCACACACATTTTATATACATATGTGTTCATACACATAGAGAAACACAGGTTGCCCTGTCAGGATAACTCAACTAATTCCATTTTTTCCCAGCTTCTGTCCTCCAGTAACAGAAGTCTAGTGGTTTCAGTCACAGTCCCTTGGGTGTAGGAGTCATCACAAAACCATCACCCTTAATTTAATACAATTGACAGTCTCTGCTCAAGAGAGGCAGAAGAAGGAGTTGCCATGGAGACTGAACTATTGCTCTTCTCCAGAGGACGCTTTTTTCAAGCACGGGCAGAACAGTAGAGGCTGTGCAACACCTGTAACCTTGATCACATCACAGGATCTTGCTTTTTGGGATGGCTTTTTAGTAAACTCTAACAAACATCCAGGAGATAAGGGTGGGGGTGGGAAGAGAGAGCTTAAGAAAACAAACAAACAAACAAAACCCCAAACCAATAAAAACCAGTATGAAAGTGCATGTTATGCCAGATTGAGAGGGGAAAAGAGTTTCATATTGATTTGATTCATCAGATTTGTCACCTCTGCTTAGTGCTTTCCTAACGGGGTGAATGCTGTGCTTGACCTATTTGCTGGAATTAACCAGGACTGCAGGAGACCATATGGATTGCCAGATGGTCTGCTATAATTTAATGCCATTTATTCTAAGTATGAAGTAAGTGATAAATATAATTAACATTCTTTTAGCTCCTTACTGGATGCCTTTTATTAGTTTCTTTTTTTTTTCCCTCAGGCATTGAAAGGTAAGTTAATACCTTGTTACTGAAACACAGATGCCAGCTAATTACTGCAAGAGGCTGCAGCCTCCAAAGCAAAGAGTGTCTGCACAGACTCTAACTTATTCACTGACCCCACTGTGATGATTAATAGGTTGAATGCTAAGCTCTAATGAGGATGACAGATCTTAGATGTTTTCAGGTTACCTTAATTAGTAGTATGATGAACAGAGTGTTCATCGCAGCCGTACGTATCACACTTCATAGTAAACAATACAACTTGTACTCATGGTCTGAACGTGTATTTCACATTACAGCACATCAAATGCTAAGGAATCAAACCACCTTCAGACAGTAAAAACAATGGAGTGATTTCCTTCAGAAATGTTTTTCCTGATTGCTATTTCATATTCTGCCAGTGATTGTCTACACGGCCTATTTTTTAGGAAGTAGTTCTAGAGAAGCTATGGCTTCAAAGAGTGTTTATATCAGGCAGGGTCGTCATTCTCAGCATTTTAAAACCATGAGTCTGTAACAAGATATCCAAACAACTTGGCCTACTGGTCCTGTGCTGATAATCTTCACAGTGACCGGGGTAGGTGTTAGCAGAATGAATAGTAAACCAATTTATAATTTTTCATGTCAATGTACAGGTGAAGTTTGTATGCTGGTACTCAGAACAATAAAAGAAGTAGCAGAGAAAAGGCAGAAGAACTGAATGCTTTGTATTTTACATGAAAAGCTGTGCGCATTGAACCTCGCAGATAAAAATGAGCACAGCTAAACATCCTGTGATTTGCGTCTGTACTGTTAATAAAACTTGGGTGAAATTTGAGATGACAGAAACGGCATAAATTAAATGTCATTCAAAGATTAAAACAAAAGAACAGCACCTGCACGATAAAGCAAATCTGCCCTTAGAAAATTAGAAAACGTGGTGAAAAAGAGCCCAGGTCAAAAGTCACAGCACAGGCAAAGCAGAAACAAACTCCAGCTTTTCACCATCTGTGCTCTTCCCTTGTTCCAGATGGGTCCAGCACTTCTTCAGGGGCCTCTACAGTTACACATGCACACTCCACAGTGCAAGTGCTGATGCATCCTTAAGAAGCAACTACATTAGAGAGGACCTGAATGTGATGGGACATACCTGCTCTTTTATTCCACTCTTGATTGCATTAGTTCAAGTTACTTCTTCACCTGGTGAACTTTGGTGAATCACCTTGTTATTATTGCTGGTCCCATAAAATCCTTTATGATTCTCTACTAGTATATGAATAATTTATGATTCTCTACAAGTATATGAATAAAAATGGGATCAAAATATCAGAACAGCAAGCTTTTGTTGATACTGACACCACTTGTCAAGACGTCTTTATAAGGTCTCTGTCTCTGCCAGCATTTGAAAAAAGGATCTATTTTTCCATCCCATTAACTGAAAAATATTTACCTGAGGTGCTTAAGCTAATGCTATGCTGGCTGCAGGTTCATTTTTGTAGCCATAGGGGAAAAACAAGTAGCCTGAATTCCTCTCTGTAGGCACCTTCCTCTCTTCCCTGACTCCTAAAGGAGCTAGGATCAGTCAGGTGTCAAAAACTTAGGTAGGTTGAAATCAGAGATAAAAAATTACCATGCTAAAAACAAGACTTCATGCTTCCTTCAATAGGTTGTTTACTGGACCTGATAATACCAAACTTTACTATTACACAGATACCACTTCTGAAAAATATTGGAGTGATGCTCTTCAGTGATTAAAGATATTGAATCTCAATGTGCTATTGGCACACTGTTTTCAGTTTCTATGTGTATACATTTGTATATATATACATATACAGAGACACACATATATATAAATGTATGCATTTAATTGTTCCATCATTGCAAACAGTCTGAGATGTTCCAAGTGGTTACCTCATAACATCCAAAGAAAGGGAAATGCCAGATCTATTGCCTGAAATAACCTCTTATTCGGACCTCTGAACTGCCTGAAAAAGTGTTTTGTCTAAGTGGCAGATAGCTCCCACCAATACTTAAAAAAAATATTCTGAAAGAATGAAGAAATCAAACAGAATTTAACAGTTAGTCTTTGAGGTTGATAGACACAAAACCTGCCAAAGCAGGTTTAACACTTAGTACTTAAACATGGCTTTATACTTTAAAATCCTTTTTCATCTGTCTTGTTCTTTACTTGCTTGCTCACAGGAAAAAAGATATCAGAGAATTTATGTTCACTGTTCATTTCAGTCCCAAGAATAAGATCGTCAGTATCTTAGCTGTCATACAGATGGTATGTATGAAACATGGCTCTTGGCCTAAATGGAAAGTAGGATTTTATTTTAGGACAAATAGGGACAAGATATAAAACCCCTATCTACAGAGGAATAACTGTGCCTGACTAATGAACCCTCTCGCCATAATAATTTTCTGTGTTTAAGCTCCATCATCTGATCTACTGAGAGATTTCACCGGGGCAGTGGAAACCGAGCAAATGTACCCCCGTCCCAGGAGATGTTACTTGGGCTTTGCTTTGTTGGAAAATGTGACTTTCAGAAACTGAATTTAGGGCAAAATCGCAAAATAGAATTAGGTAGAGGAACAAACAAAAGGCCCTAAGGGGAAAACAAAAAGGAAGAGAATATAAAATGTTTTAAAAGAAAAAGTAAACAGTGTTTTAATGACGATGTGGCTACCAGTACTCTCTGATAAAGTATGATACAAAAAGCAGCATGTATTTTGGTAAATTCTTTAGGTAATAATGATAAAATCAGGTAGTAATTAACTTTAAATGCTTTAAGATCATAGAAAAAAACCCGAACTATGATATTTGCAAATTTCACAAATGTCTTACCTCCTGCATACATGACAGCCAACATTATTGATGATATCCAAGCTATCTCACTATATGATGTGTGGAAGATTTCTTGTATTTCCTTGAAGAATACCGTGATGGCTTTGGGGAATGCATAGGAAAATCCAATGGAGATAAAAGCCCCAAAGACCACAACCCATCCCCAACCTCCATCTGGAGGTGGGTACTGTGGTGCTGCTGTTGCCGGTGGCATTTTTGGCCTCTGTCTCTTCTCCAACTAGGCTGGAAAAGAAGAGAAGAAACAAGGTTTCAAACATTTTTCCTTTTTTCTTTATCAAACTGCAGTATTCAATCATCATCTGCAGGGAAAGAATCCTCAGAGCAGAGACCAATTTCCAGCTTTCATGGGACCACAGAACGCGAGTACCTGTTTTTAGAAGCAAAATCTGTTCTGCAAAAAAACGTGTGGCAAGAATATTTGCAATATCCTATTCAGTACGTGGCATCAGTGTTTGTAACACATCAGTGTTACAAATCACTGATCTCAGTCACTTAAGTAGTATTTGCAATTAGTCACTTACTGGAAAGTGACGTGTCTGTGTGGGTTAATTTACGTAGCTCTACTATCTACAGTGTGGATTTAGCACAGGAATGAAACAAAAAAAAAACTGGAAATTGGACTTATAGGAAACAATGGGAAAAAGTTACAGTAAATTATCACTAAATGCCATTGTGTTAGCAACATTTATCGGTACCTCAGCAAAATCATCAGCAACGACAGCGAGGCATACATTCATGACACAGTTTTTTATCATATGCTGTCATTATCCAATTTTTGACCATTGTTGATATCTCTTGCTTATCTCATGAGAACATCTAAAAAGTGGGTTCTAAGCAGAGATTTAAAAATCCCTGTGTATCCTTAAAATAAATACAACATATTACAATTCCATATTGTACTCTTACTTTTAAAATTTTCACCTTCACATTAGTTGATGTTGCTATTACTTGCATGAACAAGGTGGGGCTTGATGGTACTATTTTTGCTCTGTTTCCACATGTCAGAAGACATCAGGAAGTCTTTCACTAAAAACCTCACAAACTTTCCACAGCTGTTCTCTAATTTAGAATTTACCATAATAGATGCCACCAGAGTGGTATCTTATAGAGGTTCTGAGAGGTGCAACCAACGCGCTCAGGCAGCTCAAGAAATCATAGGTAGTCCACATAAAACTCATAAGGCCTGGAATAAATTTCATACTGTTATTATCACCCTGATATCTAAAACCCCAAGCTTTCTACATTCTGCATAACCTTTTTAGAAAACATGTAGTAGCGAGAATCCATTTTGTAGTTCTGAGATTTTTCCACTATCAAATCCTTTTATTATTAAACACAGAGAAACACAGAGCTGGAGTCCACTGTGTTTTCTTCTGTGTAATTCAGCCTACACAGACAGCATGAACTGAAAATTCCTCCTTCCTGTTTCTTTCTTGGGCATTTAGGCAACTTATTACTCTTGATTGGTCTCCTGCCATACCAGTATCGAAAGCTCTGGATGATAACAGTGTGTAGGTTGCTGTTATGCTTATGATTACCAGCAAGTCTCTATGTGAAAGAAATCTGTGCCACTTATGGCATATTCCAATTTCACACAGCAAACTGCATTAGCAGTGGGAGTAATATGATTACCTTAACGAAAACTAAAAACCGAACTGTGTCAGCTTATATTAATCTCTCAGGATAGTGCCTGGAGTACTTTTGGGATAAGCGCCATGTAGCACTGCATGCAATATATGCCACAAAACTAGCAAAGTGTTGCTTTTAAGATTATCTATCACTAGGCTAGCCCTGTGATAGAAACCCACTGTACTTCTGTTCTCCACTTTACCGAAGCTGATTGTAGACATCACCCTGATATTGGCAGACCTCTGGGGGGAAGCTAAATTAACCACTAAAACATCTGGCTTCTATGCAAAGGTTGCAAAAGCCCAGGTAGTTTGGCTTCTGCATCATATCATACAGATTTGCTGCTGGCAGCACTAGATATCTATTGCTCTGTACACAGAGCATATAAATCTTTTTATACGCATGTCCAGAAAGAACCTCTGACATGTACTTTGTTTCTGTTTATCCTAGTCTCAGCTTAATATTAGTCCACTGACATACATCAGTGAGGAAAACCTGGGCTTGCCACTAGAAGAAGTTGGACAAGTAGAGACGATTCTGGTTGCTGAGACTTAACTTTGGCAAAGCAGTTAAATACCAGTTTGTTTTTGCTGAATCAGGACCCATTAGAAGGAAGAGTATCTCAGAAAGCCCATTGTAACTTGTAAGACGCATAGTGATGATCAGTTGCCTCCAAAAGCACAAAACCTCAAATTGCCATGAAAAGCAGAACTCTATTCCTGTGAATTGAGTGACAGTAAACAACAGGGTTTGCTATCTGTCCTAGAAAGCTGTTGTTCTGCTCATCTGAGAAAACTTTTGGTTATTTCCTAAAAAAAGGTTAACTATTGTTTTCTTACACTTCAAAGGTTTGAGCATATTTGTTTTCATATTTCATATTCACATGACAACACTTCTATCTCTATTATAAATTTTAGTAATGCCACACAACATCAAGGCATTGCTCTCCATAAAAATGGAAAGGGATTATCAATTTATTGAGGAAGCACTCTCTTCCTAAAATAATACACAACCGCTTTGAAAAATCACTGCCACCACGTTAGTCAGAAGAATGCTGAAGGTTCCTGAACGTCACTAAGGCACTGGCGCTTTCGAAAGATCCTGTTATATCCGCCCCTTTAGGGCTGCAGAACAGGCTCTGACAGTTCAGTGCTTTCCTCCCTTCAAAAGCTTCACAGTAAACTAAGGGGGCATAAAGGAGATGAGCAGAGGGGCATTGGCTGCTCCTACGCCTCAGCCTAGAGGCAAACTGCTGCAAAGCCCGCTGCGTGGCCAGCTTGTAGCGCTGCTGCAGTAAAAGGCTGTCTGCTAACCTCCACTAGACATTACGCTGTCACAAAGAAGAGCCTGGATCATTGTATCTCACACCTCCCCTTTATCCCACAGAGTAGAGTTAATAATAGCTTCCCTGATGTTCCTTTATGATCGTGACAGCCAATTTTAGCTCCAGTCAGTAAAAGGTGAAAAGGAAAAAAATAATAAATACATGTTTGCACCAAAAGGAAAAAAGTATCCATTTTGTCAGAAACATTAAATCCGTCATCTCAAACATCCCATACCTGCTCAGGAGCTAAAGCAACTTTCTCCTGTAAAATCTGCACTTAATATCCCTGAAACGGAACTCCTCCTAAAGCAGTCTAGCACATTAATATACCTAGCTCTAATCTAAGCCTAACTAGTAAGATCTGGGTAGTATAAGTAGTATACAGACAAGTGCAAAATCTATTAGCAACCAAAACAAAACAGCATTTTAGATGTGCGGATATAAATGTTGACAAGGGAAGAGGCAGAAGAGGGAGGAATGATGCAGTGACAACCAAAATGCCTTTTCAGAGCTCTCAGAGCTTATTATGGGCTGTGAAGAATAAAAAGAAATACGGCAGAAAGCATAAAAACAGGCATGTGTGATGATGTCCATGTGAAGGACATGGTACCAGACACAAAAAAAAAAAAGAAAAAAAGAAAAAAAAGCAGCACTTAGGTAAATAAAGGTCACCAGTGTTTTTAGTCAGTCATATGAATTCTATCATGTGCTTAAAGCTAGCGAGCGAGCACTGCTCATACCTGTGCTTTTATAGGCAAGCAGTGGGTGAGGAACGCTGCCTGCCCTCCGCCCAGGGAAGCAGCAGGGGAATAGTGACTGAAGCACGTCCTGAGTGAAGCCATCAATCTCCCTTCTCTCTGTCAGACACAGAGAGGTTGCTCAGCCTTTCCACACCCTGAGTCAGACTGTGCACAAGGATTTTTTCCTAAGCTCCTTCTAGTTCCCCTGTATAAATCCCATTTATGTAAGCAGCGAACAAGAACATAGCTTACTGTAATAAGAGCTGCATGTGTCTACTAACAAATAAGAGAAACAGGGCAAGAGGACACTTTTAAAACATCTGATATGCAAATTTTTTTACTGTATAGGTCTCAGCACATTTGAACTTAATTGGGCAAATGAGAACTAGTGAATGAAAGAGAAAGAGAGAAAGGGAGGGAAGGAGGGAGGAAAGAAGGGAAAGAAAGGAAGGGGAAAAAAGGGGAAAAAAAGAAAGAGAAAGCAGCAAGAAAGCAACAAGGTCAAACCAAGAGCAAATGCTACAGACAAATAATGTATCTTGATATCATGCACCGTAGACTTCAGTCAGTCATGATCAACCTGTTCAGACTGCTCTTGTACCAGTGCTTCATTAATATTCTGCAGTTGCCAGCTGCCAGAATCAGCTATCAATACAACAGCTTGTCAAAGACTCTTCTGAGAAGGGGTTATGTTGTTCTCTTGTTTACAGAGACTCTGATTTTACTGGGAGTTTTAGTTTTGTTTTTCTGCAACATTAAAGTAACTGTTTGTTTTTCTGCTTGCATTTTGTCTGCCTTGTCCTCAGTGTGCCCCATCACCACTTGACTCAGCAGCCTTTTGTCCCAGAGTAAAAGAGCTGGGATGTGAAAAATCTGTCCCCAGTTGCTGTAGGATAGCAGGAGTATTTGGCACGTGTGTACTGCATTCCAGTTCCACACAGTAAGCCAAGGACTGCAAAAAGCTTTGCAAACTGGAGCAAATTCAGTCTTGTAACATCCCTGTGGGGTGATTCAGAAGTATCATCCACTTTCAGACATGGGAAACAAATATAACAGGCTAAATAACCTGAATAAGACTTGTCCCAGGTCAGTGGCAGAGCTGGGATGTGGACTAATGTCCAAGTAAGCTGTGAGTTATGACCGAGATTTTTAAGTACATGTGTGTTTTAGAAGCTCATTAAGTAGCAAATGCAGATTAATTGTACTGCTTAATACTTGAGCTAGGAGTGCAGGTGGGATACAATGTTTGCTTTATAGGTTTGAATAGTCTGCTGCTCTAACTTACCCCTCACGAATGTTAACTACATTGCTGTATTTGAAATAAATGACTTTGTGGTAGCATTAGTAAAATAATGAGCTATATAGGAATTATACTCTTATAAAAAATCCTTGCTTAAAAGGTGCAAAAATTTCAATTTTCTTATTTTTATTAACAGTTCTTTAATGAGTTGCAAGCGGGATGGCAGGATAGCGGGTATCATCTCATCAAATGGTATTGCCTCACCA